AAGTATATAGGTGAGAGAGGGATTATTTCCCAATAAAAGTAGGCCTTAGACAGGGATGTGTGATGTCCCCATGGTTGTTCAATATATTTATAGATGGGGTTGTAAGAGAAGTGAATGCGAGGGTCTTGGCAAGAGGTGTAAGGGTTAAAAAAATAAAGAATCTAACACAAAGTGAGAATTGTCACAGTTGCTCTTTGCTGATGACACTGTTGGTTGGTTGATGTGTTTGGTAGGGTATGTAAAAGAAGGAAATTAAAAGTGAATATAGGAAAGAGTAAGGGAATGAAGATAACGAAAAAATTAGGTACCGAAAGACTGGATATCAGACTGGAGGAAGAGAGTATGCAGGAGGTGAATGAATTCAGATATTTGGGAGTGGACGTGTCAGTGGATGGGTCTATGAAAGATGAGGTAAATCATAGAATTGACGAGGGGAAAAAGGTGAGTGGTGCACTGAGGAGTTTGTGGAGACAAAAAGCTTTATCAATGAAAGCAAAGAGGGGAATGTATGAGAGTATAGATATACCACCGCTCTCGTATGGGTGTGAGGCATGGGTTGTAAATGTTGCAACAAGAAGGCTGGAGGCAGTGGAGATGTCGTGTCTGAGGGCAATGTGCGGTGTGAATATAATGCAGAGAATCCATAGTTTGGAGATTAGGAGGTGTGGGATTACCAAAACTATTATCCAGAGAGCTGAGGAAAGGTTATTGAGATGGTTTGGACATGTAGAAAGGTTGGAACAAAATAGAATGACTTTGAGAGTGTATAGATCTGTAGTGGAGGGAAGGCGGGGTTGAGGTCGGCCTATTAAATGATGGAGGGAGGAGGTAAAGGAGGTTTTGTGTGCGAGGGGCTTGAACTTCCAGCAAGCGTGCGTGAGCGTGTTAGATAAGAGCGAATGGAGACAAATGGTTTTTAGGACTTGACGTGCTGTTAGAGTGTGAGCAAGGTAACATTTATGAAGGGATTCAGGGAAGCCTGCAGGCCGGACTTGATTCCTGGAGATGAGAAGTACAGTGTCAGCACTCTGAAGGAGGGGTGTTAATGTTGCAGTTTTATAACTGTAGTGTAAGCATGCCTCTGGCAAGAGGCAAGACAGTGATGGAGTGAATGATGATGAAAGTTTTTCCTTTTTGGGCCACCCTGCCTTGGTGGGAAACGGCCGATGTATATATATATATATATATTATATATATATATAAAATATATATATATATATATATATATATATATATATATATATATAGGCCGTAGTCAACTTGATTTTAGAAATGCCTTTAATATGGTGAAGAGAGCTGCTGTCTTGCCAGCTGTTCGGGATCGGTTCCCCAGTCTTTTTCCCTTCATTTCAGCCGGCTACAGCAAACCCTCAATTCTTTTGTTTGGAGAACATGAAATTCTCTCATCAGAAGGTGTTAAGCAGGGTGACCCACTAGCTCCACTTTTCTTCTGTTTGGCAGTAAGAGAACTAACTTCCAGCCTACGTAGTGAGCTCAACATCTGGTACCTGGATGATAGCACTCTGGCAGGTACTGAAGAGTCCCTGGTAGGGGACCTACAACTGGTGAAAACACAGGGAGAAGACTTGGGACTCATCCTCAATCCCTCCCAGTGTGAAACCATCACAGCGAACCAGGAAATAATCAATGCTGTGCGAGGAATCCTCCCAGAAGTCTCTACTACCACTCCGTCCAACGGTACCCTTTTGGGAGCACCGCTGGGTCACCAGGCCATCGGCACAGTCCTCAAGGACAAATTGAATGACCTGATGAGAATGGAGGAGAGAATAAGCACTGAACCTGTCACTAGAGGATCAGCAATGGAATCAGGCAACCCTCCCAGTGCGACTGGGAGGTATAGGGGTGCGCAAAGCAACGCATGTTGCTTTACCTGCTTTCTGTCTTCGTGTTTGGCTTCCAGTGCATTAGTCAGAGACGTGGTAGGAGCTCAAGGCCCCAGGTTTACTGAAGCAGCGATTTGGTGGGACACCCTTACAGATTCCTCCAGTAGACCAGCTCCTCCCAAAGAACACAAACAGTCCCACTGGGACAAACCGATCATGGAAACAATGCTCTCCAACGCCTCAGGAAAGGCCAAAGCTCGTCTTCTGGCAGTGAAGGCACCACACTCAGGAGATTTCCTGTTAGCTGTTCCCAATTCCTCTTTGGGCACTCGACTAGACCCACAGGCCATTCGGATTGGTGTTGCTCTTCGCCTAGCCGCCCCCATCCTCACCGAACATTGGTGTATTTGCGGCAGGGCGACAGCTGATCATTTCGGACTTCATGGTCTCGTGTGTCACACAGCAGAAGGTAAGTATGCCAGGCATGAGGAGGTCAATGACATCATAAAGAGAAGCCTCGCCACAGCCCGTTGCCCAGCTCAACGGGAACCCCAAGTGCAGAGGTCTGACGGAAGTCAAAAGTGCCCTGATGGAGCCACTATGCTACCTTGGAAGGATGGAAAGCAGATTGCCTGGGACTACACCTGTGCCGTCACATTGGCAGACACCTACTTGCCATACTCCGTAGTGGAAGGGGGTGGAGCTGCCAGCCGCAGGGAGACCCAGAAGATCGCAAATATGAAGACCTTCCTCCTTGCTATAACTTCATCGCAATAGGGTCGGAGACCCTTGGAGCATGTGGCAAGTGTGCTCTAAAGTTCCTCAAAGAGCTGGGTGAAAGCTCATCATATAAACCAAGGACCACAGGGCGACCAGCTTCCTCTTTCAGAGACTCAGTGTTGCAATCCCGAGAGGAAATGCCTGCAGCATTCTGGGCACGCCGCCCACCGCCGGGAGCTGGACGAAGTATTCGAGATGTAGCTCTGAGTTACCTATGTTGTTTTACTTTCTATTGTATCTTTGTGAATGTTTTGTCAACGTATTTTGTCTTTAAATAAAATATATATTAATTAAATATAGGGGGTGGTAGAAGAAACTTCTCAAACAGCTTCAGGGAGAACCTTGAGTTTTCCCTGAAGCAAGTTTATTCTTTTCTCTGAGGATGAGGGTCCCCAGAACAGTTCTAGAGGTGGTACTTCCCTATATATATATATATATATATATATTATATATATATATATATATATATATATATATATATATATATATATATATATATATATATATTTCTGTGGCAACGTTTCGCTCTCCAGGAGGTTTGTCAAGGCGTTACAAACAATACATGGACACAGGTATTATGGTTGATAATTCTACCCACATTATTACAAGTTAATATAAGACCAGAACACCGACGCTAACACTGGGATTCATTCTGGCAGAAAATCTTATGAAAATATTTTGTTTAAGGATTTCATTTAACTCGTGAAAATTAAAAACACCATTAAAAAAATATGAATTTTCATTTTTTTCGGTTTTCTCTTTGCAGTTTTATTCTGTTTTAAATTCTGTGCGATACTAAAAGAACTATTGAGTTTGTGTTTTATAAGTCCAATTCAATATATTTTTTTTATTAAATTGGCAAATTGGCATCTACTCAGGGTATATCCAATACATAAAAAATACTTCCAATTCATATATACCAGCGCTTAGTGCGCTTAGTGTTTGAAGCCGATCAGAAGAGTCATTATGTAGCTACTACGTGGCAGCCATTGTATTTGTTAACGTATGAAAGTTTGAAGCTTATCAGAAAAGACGTTCTCCAGCAACTGATTTAAATCCGTCAAGTCCAAGGTCTTTTTTCACAATGACGGTTATATTATAAATCTATTAATGTGTCATCCTTCTTATCTAACGCATTAGCGTTTGTGTTTTGAAACCGATCGGAAGAATCACTCTTTAGTTACTGGATGGAAATCATTTTCACTATTAAAATTGGTTAATTTTGACAATTATGTATCACAATAGCAAGAAGTATCTTGCTTTTCGGAAAACGCACCAGTGCTGAAAAATTTGAAGTCGATCTGGTAAGGCATTCTCCAGTTATCGCAAAGGTGTCAGCGAATAAAAATGATTTTGTAACTGTCTTAACAAATTTGCCGGCACACACAAATTTAATGGGCACTTCGCTGGTCGTGAGATCTATCATCCAATAAATACTGAAGCCGTGCAGAAGACAGACTCAGATATATTTATTGATTTAAAAGCAAAAAAAAAAAAAAAACAATTGCATATTGTTTTTTCGTAAAATTGGCAGATGTGCGCCTCCAGACTTCATTTTCACTCTCCCATGTATCGAAAATTTTCAGAAATAGGTAATAAAAATTGAGGCTCAGGAACAGCCGAATCCCATTATCCCGAAATTGTTGATGCAGAGTATGTCATGACAACCAAAATTTCTTCTTAACAGAGAAACTCTTTTTCAGCGCCCATCCTATGCACACGCGCGCGCGCGCACCTAACGTTTTAAGAAACAATTGAAATACAACTTCCTTCAAGTGCCAGATTATAATACTATAATATAATATAATATAACTTTATTTACAAAATGTACAAGGTATATAGTCCTAGCTGACATCAATGACATACTACTATATAGAAAGTCGCTTGTTATGCTGAGCATTTCGGGCAAATTAAGTCAGATTTGTCCTAGGATGCGACCCACACCAGTCGACTAACACCCAGGTACCCATTTTACTGATGGGTGAACATAGACAACCGATGTAAGGAAGCACGTCCCATGTTTCCACCCGGGAATCGAGCCCGGACCCTCATCGTGTGAAGCGAGAGCTTTTGCCACCAGGCCACGGGGCACCGTGACTTGGTGCCAGGCACAGGCTATGCTGCATATATAGACCTGCGGGCTGCTAGAAGCAAAAACCTGGTTGATCAAGCAATCAAGAAGGAAGCCTGGTCTTAAGCCAGATAAGCCACAGATATATTTTTCTAAAGTTGTTTATTTTTGTAATCTTAATCAATCTGGTTTAAATCATGTGACATACAAATAACCTTGTATACAAGTTACAGTCGTATATCCACCACCCGATCAGGAACCAGATTGGTTTCTGCACTCACTAATATGATGTGTTGTGGTTACAGGAGCCGCTGAGACCAGGAGCTACATCAACGAGGTCACCTCCTGCTGTAGCGGCCACCTACAATACCGGCAACATATCCTGCAAGGTCAGTCAGGTGGAAGGAAGACCCACGCTGCATAACAGACTTCACTCTGCGTAAAGCTTTATCGAGCTCTTAGAGTTTGATGAAGCTCTATATGGAGTGGAAAAGTGGTTGTAAAGTGCATCCTTCTTTATCATTGTGAATAAATGATTTAGGAAACCCGACAAGTTGATAAATAAGACACATATGCAACATTTGTTATCTTTATTCTGGGAACGTTACGCCGGCCAGTGACTTCTTCAGTCCAAACTCTTGAGAACTTGATGAAGCTCTTCACAGAGTTAAAAAAATAATTTACAAGGTGTAGCATTCCTCTATCATTGTCGGCTGTGCGCTCTTTGGATCCAAAGTCAGCCTAGCTCTTCCGTCACGCATATTAAACCCCTAAAGTCAGTCTCCATCTCTGCGATATTCTTATTGAATCAGGACAACCAGATCATACATTTCCGAATCTCTCTGCCTTACAGTTTGTCTTACCCACTATTACAGTTTCAGGTAATTAAGGCTTGTTAACCTGGCCGTAATGGGATCTTGGAGCAAAATAAACACTGCGATAGTCTTCTAATTATATTTTCCTTCACCAAGTATGACTAGATATTTACAGCTATGTACACTATATATACAAGAGATTGAAATATAAGTGTACAACACGGTAAGTCAAGAGGCAAGGCAACAGTCTAAAGACAGAGAGGACAACCGTGTTCAACAGCAGCTGGGTGAATCTGGTAAGAGTGAACTGTGAGTGCTTCCACATCACCTTCGCAATTATCAGACCCACAATTTGATTGGTTGAACCAAGGTACTGATTTAACGATGGGGTTCCCTAAATCATTAAACCCTTAGTACCTGGTTTGCTGGTTGTGAGGCAGCTTATATGAGAGTGTGTACATACGCCGAATAAATGTAACATACTCTTTTGCATGCCACACCCACATAAAGCAACTTAAAGTTACGAAATGACTAAGATAAAGCGTTTTATGCTACAGCAAAGCCCTGGGCTTAGGTTAGAACTGATGTAGATGCTTAAACCCCAAACGAGACCAATTTACGATAACCATGCTGTGCTTGGATTATAGTGTCAAAAACAATGTTAAAAGAATAATTATGAGTAACCACTCGGACAGAAAGGTGAAACACGGGCGAAAAAGTGACCTGTAAGTCTCTTCCCTCGTCAGATCAGCTGAAAAGGGTCTCCGACTGAGGTCAAAATATTCAGCTTTATGTTTAACTGTGTTTCATTTATCTACTCAGGTGGTTGTTCGCTTTCCATATTACAACTGCAATTTTACACACGAACTATAGTGTTTGTGCGTCTGAAAACGCATTAGTTAACGTGCAGGAGTGAGCACACTGCTGGTGATAACTTCTGTGATCACTGACTACTCTTTTCAGTCTCGAAATTCAGTATTCCTTCTTTACCTGCTGTTCTGAATTTAGATGTTCCCTGGTCACTGTTCTTGTCGTTTTTCATTAAGAAAAGAGAGTTTTAAAAACGAACGTATTCTTGCAGAAGTGGGAAAGGTGTCAGCGGGTGTAGAGACCTTGACCCAGCAGCTGACGACACACCTGCAACAGCAGCAGCAGCAACAACAACCAGGTGAGTCTACACACCACACCTGTCACATCTGACTCCTAGATTATTATTATTATTATTATTATTATTATTATTATTATTATTATTATTATTATTATTATTATTATCGTCATCGTCATTATTGGCCGTCTTCTACCATAGTAGGGTGACCCAAAAGAGGAAACACATTCCTCAAGAATCTTTCAATAGCATCATTTCTTCACTTGCAGTCTTGCCAGAAGTGTGCTGACACCACAGTTCAAATGCCCCTTTGAACTGTAACATCCCCACCACTTCAGAGCACAAGCACTGTAATTCTCGCCGCCAGAACTCAAATCCGGCTATCCATTTTTCCTAAATCCCTTCATGAATGTTACCTTACTCACACTCTAACAACACTTGAATTCATAAATAACTCTTGTCTCCGCTCACTCCCATCTTGGATGCTGAAGTCTTTTTTTTTTAGTCCTTAGCATTCAAAATCTCATTTACTTCAACTTTTCTTTGAACGACCTCTACCCTTCCTTCCTTCCTTCCCTTCAGCCTCAGATTTATACGCACTTCTGGTCATCTTATACTGGTCCACCCTCTCTGTATGCCAAACCACCTCAGCATCCCTTGCTAAGCCCTCTGAAATATATATTTCTGGTGATTCCACACCATGTTCTAATTTCTGCATAATTTTATCATCATTCTCAGCATAATATTCTCACCACATACGTGCACTCTTAATGATCCACGTGAAGCCTTCATGACCCACGTGAAACCTCAGTGACTCACATGCATCCTTAATCCGCGTAGAGCCTAAATATTTGCGCCCACAGAGGTGGCGAAATATCTAGTTTTTTCATACCTCATTAATGAAAGTCTTGTACAAATATTCAGTGAAAGGTTTTCAAACATCTCAGCAATAAAACTTCGGCTTAAAGTAAGGCATAGTTGACGAGTAATCAAAAAGAAATACGTAACAAAAAAGACCCGTTTGCTTACACGAGGCTTTATCAGGTACATAAAATATCAAGACTAGCGACATACATATAGTACTGAGAAGTGATGGAGTCAGGTATTGGACCAGATTGAAGTTGAGATGTCCCATCCAGTGTAGGTGAAGCGACATGTCAGACATTGTCTATGTAATGGTGTTAGAGGCAAATATAACCTTTGATTCGGGACATAACTTTTCATCCTCTGTTGCTCTCCTGGTACAAGAGATGAGCTTATTTGAAATTGGGTGTGTGTGTGTGTGTGTGTGTGTGTGTGTGTGTGTGTGTGTGTGTGTGTGTGTGTGTACTCACTTATTTGTGGTTGCAGGGGTCGATTCATAGCTCCTGGCCCCGCCTCTTCGCTGGTCGCTACTAGGTTCACTCTCTCCCTGTTCTATGAGCTTTATCGTATCTCCTAAACCTATATATGGATCCTGCCTCCACTACATCACTCTAGATTGTTTCACTTCCTGACAACTCAGTGACTGAGGAAATACTTCCGAAAATCCCTTTGACTCTTCTGAGTTTTCAACTTCCAGCTGTGATCCCTCGTTGCTGTGTCTCATCTCTGAAACATCCTGTCCCTATCTACCTTACCAATTCCTCTCAGTATTTTATATGTCTTTATCATGTTCCCTCATCCCTTCTGTCCTCCAGTGTCATCGAGTTGATTTCCCTTAACCTCTTTTCGTAGGACATACCCCTTAGGTCCAGACTAATCTTGTTGCAAACCTGTGCACTTTCTCTAAATTCTTGACGTGGTTGACCAGGTGTGGGTTCCATACTGGTGCTGCATACTCCAATATGGGCCTGACGTACACTATGTACAGAGTCTTGAATGAGTCTTTACTCAGGTGTCGAAATACTGTTCTTAGATTTGCCAGTCGTCATATGCTTCAGCAGTTATTTGGTTCATGTGCGCCTCAGGAGATGTGCTCGGTATTGTACTCACTCATTACCCTTTTCCTTGAGTGGTTTGTAGTCTTTGGCCCCCTACCCTGTACTTTGTCTGCGGTCTTTTTTGACCTTCCCCAATCTTCATGACTTTGCACTTGGTTTGGTTCAACTCCAGGAGCCATTTGTTGGACCAAGTTTGCAGCTTGTCCAGATCCATTTGTAGTTCTACCTGATTCTCATCCACTTGAATTCTCCGCATTAGCTTCGCAGTGTCTGCAGACAGGGACACCTCTTCATCTGTTCCTTCCGTCATGTCATTCACATATACCAGAAACAGCACTGGCCCTAGGACTGACCCTTGTGGAACCCCGCACATACCATTACTCGTTGTTCCTTCCGGTCAGGTATTTTCTGATGCACTGCAGTGCCTTTCCTGTCATTCCTGCCTTCCCCTCTAGCTTTTGCACTAATATGTGTGTGTATGTGTGTGTGTGTGTGTGTGTGTGTGTGTGTGTGTGTGTGTGTGTGTGTGTGTGTGTGTGTACTACAAATCCATTATGTGTGTAGTCCATCTTGCTATAGCATCCACCACCTGAGATACTGTGTATCCCTGTTGTGACTGTATACTCAGCGGGATGAGTTCTGGTGATTTTTTTAATAGTTTTTGTGGCACGTTCCGCTAGTCCAGTGTCAGCTATCTGTCGAATAGAAGTAAAGGATGTCGTTGTCTCTCCTGTGAAATTTGAAACTATATTCTTGGAGTTGAAAATGTGTTTAGAAAATTTAAAAGGGAATAGATTCCATCATGTATCCTTGTCCTTCAGGTAGGTGCTACAGATTCTGCTGCGTCTTTTTTTTAACAATTAAAGCTTCTAATGACATTTAATCTTATTCTTATTATTCAAAATGTATTTACATTTCATCAATCTTATGTCTTCGGCAGGTATTGCTGTGCCAGAGGCTGTATTTTAATTTTATTTTTATTCCAGTCACGATTATGAATCTGAAAAAAAGTGTCTGTCAATTTGAAACATCCGATCTTACTTATATAGAGGTAACAAATACCGTTGTGATTCTTTCTGCAGGCGCACTGACCGTAAACACCGACATGGAAACCCTCTTGCAGAAGGTCACTCTTCGGGAAGACCAGATCTCCCAGCTTGAAGCAGCGACTAATCTCTCCAGGGCAGAGACTCTGTTATTGGAGGAGGAAATTGCTCAGATTCAAGCAGAGATGCATGAAATTAAGAACAAGGTCAACGAGGCTGATCAGCATGTCAGAGATATGATGGAGGAGGTCAGTCAGGTGGAAAGAGAGACACAACAGGTGAAGGTGAAGATCCAGGAGATAGAGAGCAATAACCAGCAGGCTAGAGAACAGATCTTGAGACTGAAGGAAGACACGAACCTCTTGAAGGACAAAAACCGGCATCTGGAATATGAAAAGACATCGATAGAAGAAAGAAATAGAGAGATAGATAATGAAAATAAACAGTTGGAAGTAAGTGGCAGGTACCTAAAGGAGGAAACTGACCAAATAGAACAGAGAAAGTTAGAGGTTGAAGAAGAGAAGACTGACCTTGAACAAAGGAAGATTCAACTTGAGGAGCAGAGGAAGCAAATGGAGGAGAAGAATAAACATGAAGAAGAAAAGAATGCAAATCTAGAAGAGATAGTAAGAGAGCTGGAGATCGAGAAAAGAACCCTGGAAGAGAAGAAAGAAGAAAGCGAAAGAAGGAAGCAGGAGGCCGAGAATACGAGGGAGCAGCTGGAGTCGGAAGTTGCTATGCTGGCGTCGAAGGCAGACGATCTCACTGCCTTGCAAGTCGACATGGTCAACGACTTATGTTGAAGCATATTATGGATTATATAGGGATACATTCACCTGTTCATAAAGGCGTACATATTTGTATCAAAAGTCCCACCCATCAATTTACAAATATATTTCCAAACACAAGTTCAAACAAATCATACAAACACTCCCAGTAAAACACACACACACACACACACACACACACACACACACACACACACACACACACACACACACACACACACACACACACATACACACACGTGTGCGTGTGTGAACACAAATAACTATAAGAATAAACTGTATTACAAATATGTAGCCTAAGTTGCAAGAAGGAAAGTGATGTGAAACGAGCCTAATTGAATGATATCGATTGACTAGGGTCAGGCAGGGAAGAGAAGAACAGGTGGATTCCCATACTGCTAGAGGTATTGGATTCGGCATCTCCACACGAGACAAATTTACTACCTGGACAAAATAACTGGACTGGAGGGCACTACAGTGGAGAGATGTGACAAGTGGTGTATGACACCATATGGTGTCTTACACCACGTCATATCTCTCCATCTTGTTCTTCACATATACAAAAAACTAAATATGGAAATTGAGTCTTTCTTGTCAGTGTTTGCAGATGATTCAACATTGGTATTCATAGTGGACAGAAAGTGTATTTTAAACCGACATTGTGGAAAGAGAAACATATGTACTATAATAAAGTTATATTATACTGCATCTGTCTCTTTATCCACTGGTGATAAGAATGTTGGCGATAGTAGACCTCACATCGCGAGGCTACAGGAGTGGTCAGACAAGTTGAATTAGATCTCTCGGAGGAAGGTACCTTGATACTCTTGGCTCAAAAAATTGGATCTCTCCTCTCCTTCCTAGGATCGAACCTCATTGCTTCCCATTCCCCATGCGCTATTTGACCTGTAGGTTTAGCGCTTCCTTCGTGAACGTAACGATAAAAGCACTTTGTACAGCCTTATATTTACATTATTATTATTATAATCAAGGGGAAGAGCTAAACCCGTAGGATTATACAGCGTTATATTTACAAACTGCGAGTAGAGGAAATACGACCACAACATATAAAATACTCAGACAATTACCCAGTAGACAGGGGAAGGCTGACATAGGAGACGAAGGGACAGAAGTGGAAACTGGAAACACAAATGAGGCAGCGTAATTTATTTCAGAGTGAAGCTGTGGACAAATGGACAGGAATTGCAATCAAAAGTTGTTTTGACAAATCTTACTTAAGAAACAATTATACCTTAAACAGTATCAACGTCGGTTTTGTATCTCTTGTTTTAAAACTTCTTATATCTAGACAATAATTTTCTTATACAGGTGATAGTTACATTATTTCTATCTTCTGATACAGTTGCCTCCATGTCCCTCTTTCATTTTATAAAGTGATTTGCTCCTCTTTTTGCACTCTTTCAGTTTTGTCTTTCATTTTTTTACAGCGGAGTAGCAACAATTTATCGTCTCCTAACATCAGTTTGTTTTCTACGTCTCAAGTGAAGAATCAGTTTACATGGACTTGAGAGTTCGCAGTGCCCGTGATGCTCACCAGACGTAACATTTTTAGTGTCGTACGCGAAGATGTTATAGCGTTGTAATTGTTTTCTTTGTCTACATCATATATGAGGAATACATACCTATGGTGGGTTCTGACTTTGTTTTGTTAATTTGCTTTTGAGGTTCTTCCAAACAAAGCCAGGACTGATAAACTAGAATACAAACAGAAAAAATAATGCTGCTGCTATGTGACATTTTACAAGGTTAGGGAAAGAACTATTTTTACTCTGTTTAGGATACTTAAAGCAGATGGAATCACAAATAACTATAATGAAATTTAAGAACAATCATCAGAGGATGAGCGAGATATAAACCCTCACGAAGACAACACCAAGAAAGACAATAATGAAAGAAATATAATCCAAGTACTGAGGAACAAGGAAACAACAGAGATGGTAGAGAACTGACACTGTATATGGAATCGGTGAGCTTACATGAGGTCAGTGGCAGCAATATACATTACAGCAGAAGTCTGAAACACGAATACAAGGAGAGAAACAGGGTCACAGAGGAAATAACTTGCCCCACAGCGCAGTGAAGAAGCTACCTATCATGGAAGCCTTTCGCTACAAGAAAATGACATTCGGAGAACTTGGAATAGCATGGAAGACCAAACTTGTAGAGGGCTAAATTGATGGAGATGATGCTGGAGAACTCCATGTGGCAGCCTTTCCAGGATATGACAGGAAACACAAGAAAAGTAAATCAGCGAGACTGTACTGGTCATTATCTAGTTTCAGGAGTCCCCAACCTGCGGCCCGCGGGCCGCATGTGGCCCTTCTTGGAAATGAATACACATGAAATTATAAATTCACCTTCATGCAGGTTACCATACTGCACAGTGTCAACAAAACCGTGCGGCCCTCATCACACATTTGACCATCAAATCTGGCCCATTGGTGTAGGAAGGTTGAGGACCACCGAATTCTAGACGCAACATAGAAGAAATAGATTGTAAACCCACGTTGGGCACAAGTGACTACTAATTCTGAGCATCAGTTATCTACTAGAAATGAACACATGATGAGGGAAGGATAAAAAACAAGACTATGAAGAGTGAACTATGCAAATATAATAGACTTCCTGAATGTGATGCAAGTGGAAGAGAAACTGAAAGGAAAGAGACTGCTAAAAAACCATCTTATCTCTCAATATTAACCAAATCAACCAAAACATCTGTTAATTAGTTTTATTATGTGACCTCTAGGCTTTTAATTCTGCTAATTCATAAAATACTACCACCTTAACCATTACTTGTAACATAGATTTTGTGTGCAATTTCAAGATTATTTTACGGAACCTTACTCCACCTAACTACCTCACATTTGTATTAAGTTTAAATAAGTTTGTAAAACAGTTAATCACTACTTCGTGTCTAGTTTTAAGTATAGTTACTATATTCTTATTATCTTGTCTAGTTTTAATTAGTTACTATGTATTAGGATTATTCTGCCCAAAATGCCCGGGCATGATAGTGGCTATCTTTGTACTTAGCAAATCAAAATTGTAATTATTGTAACCTTTACAACGAAATAAACTCTATCTTATCTTATCTAAGGGGATGGTGGGGTGCCTTACCCAGAAGTGCTGAGAGGCAGAGAAAAAAATTCATATCCTAGTTAACAAGAAGAAACGGAAAATAAAACTGATGGTTCAGCCACGGATGTAAACGTTACATCAAACCCACCAGTCAATGTGCAAAATCTGCAGAACATGTGTGCAGAACTATAACGGGAAACAGATCAACAGTGGAATGTAAAAAAAAGCTAGGGAGGAATTTTCAAATTTGTTAAAATGAGCTACCGGGGCCATCATGTTAGAACCTCCCTTCTTCACTGAGGATTATATTACGTCTCTGGTTAAAAATACAATCTTCAGTTTCACTATCGTGTTTTAACGTGAGGTCACCACTGTACTCAAATCACCTTCTACGTATATAGGATACTGTACATACATTTTACCTCCTGCCTTTTGGAAGCTGCAATTTTGCATTCCTCTGATGATGTAACTGATAAAAACACTTAAGAAAATTTGTTTTTAAATTTTCTTGACTGAGTATTTTTCATTAATGGAATCATGTTTTTTTTATTATGTTCTTGTTACATATACAATCCTTCGTTATTTTGTTCATTTACATGAGTTTTCTGTCATTCCTACAGCCACTCTCCGTCTCTCGTCTCCCTCTCTCTGCATTCATTTGTATCTCCACAGGCTACCGCAGCTGCGGCAACATTGTGGATGTGCTGCGGAAAGACGTCATCTTGCGGGACTTCATGATCACGCGACTTCAAGAGGAGAACACTACACTGAAGAAACTGCATCTTCGGCTTCACGACGAGACCCGTCAGGTGAGAAGAGAGAAGCAGGAGGTGCAGTCCAAGTTTAAACGGTTGGAAGAAGAAAAGACACAGACTAATGTAACGGTAGAACAAGTAAAAACTGAGAACTTCCGTGTGAGGGCCACACTTCAGCAAGTGAACCTGCAGCATAAAGAACTAAGAGCTGAGGTGAGCTTGCAGGCGCATCAGGCACTACTGGAGAGAGGAAGAAGTCGCCACTTAGAGGCAATGAAGGCGCAGTTAGAGAACAAGACCACAGAACTCGAAGAGGAGAAGAATCAGCAAGAACAATACAACAGCCAGCTAACTGAGGCAAGAAGACCACTGATGGAAAATTTTGAATACATCGTAAATGAGATAACGCATCTGCTACAGGAGTGCATACATCTGGAAGCTGCAACTGAGGAGCTTCAAGTTAAGACTCAGGGGATAACGGAGATAAACCATCGGCTAGAACAAGATCAAAGCCAGATAACGGAAGAAGGAGAACGTTTGAAGCTATATATCAGCGAGACGGAAGGTAAAATAAAGAAAGTAGAAGATATAAATGAGGATTTAAGGAAGAGGAAGGACGAGTTGCAGAGGGACATCCAAACCCTGGAAGGTCAAAACCTCTTTGATTCAGATCCTTGTTCCTAGTGTTGGAAACTTGAAGATTAAGGGTTCAGTATTTTTCTTAGCATTATGATGTGTGTGTGTGTGTGTGTGTGTGTGTGTGTGTGTGTGTGTGTGTGGTGTGTGTGTGTGTGTGTGTGTGTGTGTGTGCTGTGTGTGTGTGTGTTTCACATTGGTACCGCTGCCTAATTCGCTACTTATTCGAGTTTGCCTCATTGTATGTTTTTGAAAGATACTTATTCAGTTCCTTTTCAAGGGAGGTATCCTGATGCAGGCAAAGAGCTCTTGATCCAAGTTCTTGATCCAGTTCCTTGAATCAAACCTTATTACCCTCCATTCCCAGAGCTTCACGATCTTTACATATTCAACTTTTTGAGTTTCAAGTGGCTGTGGTCCCAAAAATTGCTGATTTGAAGTGATGTTTTGGTACCTATAAAATTATCAGGATTTATCAGGAGCACAAGTACTGTCAATGATCCAGCAGCACCAGACGCAGCTAGGTATAGCCCAGTCAGCTGAACAATCAAAGATGAAGAATAAAGTATACACAAAAAATACAGCTTTGGTTTAACATATATTCCCATCACAAGAACGTTTGTTTAATTATTTACACTAATCGCAGTGAGGTTTCAGCCAATGAGCCAAATTTAAATATAGTTGAAAGAGACAATATGTATGAGAACTCTGGTTGCTTACATCTATGGAATACCCATACAGTGGGCAGATTTTAGTATGGCGTTAGCCTTCCCGAGGCATGCGAAGGTCTGAAGATCAGGGCTGCACTTACATTCAAGGCATTCCGTAGCTTGATTGTTAGAGCATTAACTCACACAGTGAGGCCCAGGGGTCGATCCCCTGGTATGGCTGGAAAACATTAAGACGTGTTTCCATAAGGCACCTGCTGCCCATGATCACCTCTCAGTAAAATGCATACCTGGGTGTTAGTCGCTTGTGTGGGTCGCATCCTGGGACAAAATTGACCTAATTTACCCGAAATGCTCTGTATAAGAAGGAGCTTTCTTTATAGTAGTATGTCATTGATGTCAGCTAGGCTTATATACCTTGTACATGTACTTGTAGAATTGTCATTATTATTATTATTATTATTATTATTATTATTATTATTATTATTATTATTATTATTATTATTATTACTATTATTATTGTTATAAGGTAACTTAATCAGGCTTCCCATCCCTCACCCCGAAAAAAAGAAAAATCTCCATCACACAAGTAGACCATTCTCGACTTAAATGACGCACTCATCTCAACAAGCAGTGACCTTCCCTGCCTCAAGCTGCCTTAAGATGACATACAGAAATGTGATTACGTATATTATACATGTAGAATACATGGTTATACATTTATTTTGTTCAAATTTATGCGAATTTATCCTCTTCAAGAGGAACGCGTGAAGGGTGAAGTTCTCTTGATCCAAGGAATTGAAGCTACCCTTCCTTTCCTTGGATCAAACTTGATGACCTCCATTTCCTAGGCGCTGTTTGGCTACAGGTCTAGGACTGCACTGTAATAATAATAATAATAATAATAATAATTATTATTATTATTATTATTATTATTATTATTATTATTATTATTATTATTATTATTACTATTATTATTATTATTGTTGTTGTTGTTATTATTGTTGTTGTTGTCCTGGACGAACCGACACCTGATAAGATATTTTAATTTTTTATTTACGATTTAGTTGTGGATTTTATGATACTTTTGTAATTAATTTGTTAAGCTCCGAGTGCTTGTATGGCGCTCTGAGTGCCTGTACTCACCTAGTAAGCACTCACCTAGTATGACACTCTGTATGGCACTCTGAGTGCCTGTATGACGCTCTGAGTGCCTGTATGGCAAGAGACTGGTTGAAAAGCTAGAGGAGCAGGCAGGAATAGCAGGGAAAGTACTGCAATGGATCAGGGAATACCTGACAGGAAGGAAACAACGAGTACTGGTACGTGCCATACAGGCATTCTGAGTGCCTTTATGGCACTATGAATGCCTGTATGGAGCTCTGAGTGCCTGTATGGCTTTCTGAGTGCCTATATGGCGCTCTGAGTGCCTGTATGGCGCTCTGAGTGCCTCTTACGAGCCTCTGAGTTGCACCTTATGGCACTCTGAGTGCCTGTATGACGCTCTGAGTGCCTGTATGGCAGATTTTGAAGTGGCCGGATATGGAGCTCTGGAGTGCCTGTATGAAACAACTCTGAGTGCCTTATGGCATCTGAGTGCCTGTATGGCACTATGAATGCCTGTATGGAGCTCTGAGTGTCTGTATGGCGCTCTGAGTGCCTGTATGGCGCTCTGAGTGCCTGTATGGCTTCTGAGTGCCTGTATGGCGCTCTGAGTGCCTGTATGGCGCTCTGAGTGCCTCTACGGCGCTCTGAGTGCCCCTATGGCCTCTGAGTGCCTGTATGGCGCTCTGAGTGCCTGTATGGCGAGTCCTGATGGCCTGTATGACTCTCTGAGTGCCTGTATGGCGCTCTGAGTGCCTGTATGACTCTCTGAGTGCCTGTATGGCGCTCTGAGTGCCTGTATGGCGCTCTGAGTGCCTGTATGGCCCTCTGAGTGCCTGTTTGGCGCTCTTAGCGTCAATACAGCGCTCTGTAATAGTATTATAATTATTACTGTGCATGTTAGAAAGATGGTTGAAACGTTGATCCGGAGTACAGGTTTAAAGACAAAGATACGCAGTTTACTGAACTAGTTTGTACTGGCACAATATTCTCGCTCTGCGTAGAGTCATGATTTTGTATTCACAGAGCTAAACGTTGTCTCACATTTCTAAGTGGGCTGTGGTATGACAGTACTGTGACAGATGGTTCTTCCAGTGTGACAGTACTGTGACAGATGGTTCTTCCAGTGTGACAGTACTGTGGCAGATGGTTCTATCCAGTGTGACAGTACTGTGGCAATGGTTCTACCAGTGTGTCAGTACTGGGCAAATGGTCTACCATTGACTTTAAATGGTTCTTCAGTGTACAGTACGAGGTCCTCCTTCAAGGGAGGTTTCCTTGACGTACTGTGAGAGGCTTCCCTTGACGTATGGAATGGATCTGTGCTCCAATCCTGAAACTGGTCAAATGGTTCTACCAGCGCTGCATAATTCGCAAGGGTTTTAGGCGCATTACTGATATAAAAGTCCAGTGTGACATATATAATGGTTATACATTATAATAGTATGTGGAACTGGGAACAGTGTGACAGTACTGTGGCAGCTAGTTCTCCGTTGACAAGTATCCTGTTGAAAATTTCTTGCTCAGGAAAGTTAAAAGTTCTTCAGTGGCACATATTTAATGTTTCTAACCAGTTGGTAGTTAAGGGTTATGTTTGCTAATTTGTCGAGATCCCTCAAGAGGTTTTGAGCTGAGGTCTCTGATCATGAATTTGTCTCTGTCATCCTTTAACTCTGGTCTAACATCCTCACCACCAGGCGCTGATGATTTACTTTATTCTCGATAATTCTATTAGCATGATATAGTATAATTAATCTATTATATTAAATAACATATATTTTTATAGCTTAAGGCATATTGGGCAGATATGAGATTTAGAAATTAAAATTTTGGCATTTTTTCTTTTCAGTTTGCATGAAAGTTTTGATCCTTCATCGCTCACGATCTGGTCCCCCACTCACATGGGACTCTGTTATGATTTCACCACAATTTTTTGATTGATATAAATTT